CGTGGGCTCTGATTGGTTTTCGTGTACTTGTGCTTGTATATTTAAGGTAGTAGCAGAGTTCTGTATAACTGTATTGAGATGTATTCCTCCTTAGAGTTACATAAAGCCATTCTGATCTAACGTGTACAAAAAAAAAAAAAAGCAAAACGTGAAAAATGAAAACACACCAACCTCGTCTTTTCCCCTCTTGATTATTTTTATAATTTGCATTCGACTGATGAATTGAAATCAAGGGCGCAGTCTGTGTTTGTTACCTGATTGTTTCAGATTTTGATGAAATCTGCCGCAGACTCCAGTGTTCGTCTGTTTCTTCATCTTCTGTTCTTCTCCGTGTGTTTAAGGGAGACCAACTGTGATCAGCTAGTCATGTTTCAGTAACATGTTAGTTGTTTTATTTCTCACACACCCAATACTGCTGAAACTCAGACTAATCACATTTTTGTACTGTTTGATTATTATTTCCTCTCTTTCTGACCAGCTGAATCGATCTGAATTAATTCTAAAGGTCTGCACTTGAAACAAACTGATGATCTTTTCCACCTTTAACCTTGTAGATGCTCCTGTTTGATATAACTTAGTTTTCTTCATTTCTGCCCTTGATTCAATTAATGTATGGAACCAATAAAATATGAATTTTCACTTTAAGGATTTCTGCGTCTGTGTGATTTATAGTTTATATATGTATATGATAATTACAATATCTATCATATTTATGTATATTAATTTAATTTTAAATATTTATGTTTGTTTTATATCCGTGTATGTGTTTCTGGATGGAGTTCAGTCATCATCAGTTTAAAATAACTGAACATTTATTTAATAATCTAGAATTGAGTAGTAAATATAATTAGATATGAATAATTTATATATATATATGTATTGAAATGTGTATTTTAACAGCATATAATAAAAGTATAAATATTTGTATGTGTATATATATATATATAGCATTCATATATTTATACGAGTATATATCATATTGTAAATACATTATATATTTTACATTGTATGTGTGGAGCTCGGTCATCGTTAGATAAAGTATTTTTTAATAATATGTAAATATTAGAATGTAATATTCATACGAATATTACAAATAATAGTAATACTTACATATATTTTATGTATTTATATACACATTTATAGATCTATAAATACTTTAAAAATGTAAACTAAACTTACTAAACTAAACAAAGTCCATGCAAGTGACATCAGTGTGTCTAATTATTTATGCACTAATTATTTATCCTGTGTGTCCTCTTAAAGTGAACAAAACACAACCAGGGTAACCACAAATGAGCCATGCTTCTTACACTAAAACCATAGTTTAACCATGATATTGTAGTAAATCTGTGGTTATACAAAAGAGGGAATTTGTATTTGTGTATTTAGTTTTTTCTTTGTTTTTATAACTGCCCTGCCTTCATGGTTTGATGCTTGGTACTGTTTAATAATAATACAAATGAAAAAAATTATAAGCAAACTATCTCCATATTTCCATTCCAAAGATAACATCCAACACAAATCTATAGAGAAACACTGCATTAATATGACGAGCTGCAGCTCTAAACACATGTTAGATGGAAACACTGCGCTTTATGATGGAGTTTGCAGTTTAATTCACTATATCTGAAATAGTTTAATCTGAAATCATCTGAAAGCAGCCAGTCTCTCAGTCAATGTTCAGTTTATCAGTGTATACTGTAATAAATATTAGAGGAATGATTGTTGTGTGTGATTGTGTGAGTCTATATAGAGATAGTCAAAGTAAAAAGAGCTGATGAACACAAAACAGCAGAACTACATAAAGTTAAAGAGGCTAAACTTTAGCTTTCAGCTGAACTCTGAAAATAAGAACCAGTTTTTAAAAATTACAGAATAAGAGTAATCTTTTTTTTTATTACATTGTTTATTTTGTGCACTGACTGTGCATTGCACATATTTTGTGCATTGCATATTTTGTGCATTGCATATTTTGTGCATTGCATATTTTGTGCGTTGCATTTTTTGTGCGTTGCATATTTTGTGCATTGCATATTTTGTGCATTGCATTTTTTGTGCATTGCATATTTTGTGCATTGCATTTTTTGTGCATTGCATTATGTTTGGTTTTTAATTCAGAACCTGAAATGCCCTTTTATATTTCAAATACTTATAAAATAACATATTCCTTACAATAACCCGCTTCTTGTGTGAAAGGCTGAATATAATCCTCAGATCGCTCCAGTGACATTTAAAATCCAAAACTGGTCAGAACATTATCAAATGACATTTCTGTATCAGTGAATATGAATATCATATAATATTGAAAGGGAATCTTTATGAGGACAACAGAAGCAATCAATTGTAGCATTAAAACAACTAAACACAGATCCAAAACTATATAAATACTACTTATACTTAAGAAATTAAATGAAAATGACAAATGCATACAATAAAATTTCACAAGCTAAAAACAATTCAAAATATTAAAGAACAAAAGATATGAGTATAATAATGATTCTAATATAACACTAAGCCAAACACCAAAAAACAACTACTACATATATGTCTATGTACAACCACACACACACACA